GTGTGTGTGTGTGTGTGTGTGTGTGTGTGTGTGTGTGTGTGTGTGTGTGTGTGTGTATATAAAATTAAATGGACAAAATACAATAATAACACACGAGAAAAAAGACCTTGGATAGAATAAACGTTTGTACTTAATATTTGAACTTCAATCTCGCACGAACGATGAAACGGTTCTCGCCGTACGGTACCCGGTACGCTCGCTGGCAAGTACACGGGCTCAAGTACTACCGTTTAGTATTTAACATGCTCTCGTTAACGCAACACATTCTCTTTACAGAAAAAAGTCCGCCTTCGGCGCGAAAGCCAACAATAGCGAGGAGATTAGCAGCCAACACCAGTGTGAAACAGAAATCCTCCGTGACGTCGATAAAAGGTACGTTTTTGATTCTACCTTAACATGAGAGTTCCTTTCGCGGGATCTTCTTCGTCGTCAACCAGTTCCACCGGTATCTCGGAGAGACCCGATCAGAGGCCATTAGGACTTTTGTCATTTTGTGAAACGACAATTAAACTCGTTTTACAAAAGGACAAGATAAATCGAAGAATTTACGTTTCGCGCGTTGTACTTTCCAATCCATTAGCCGTGCCACTTTAATGGACGGCCGGTTTCTAAAAAAGTTCCCACGTTTATATCTGCGACGCACGCACACACGCACTCGCAGGCACGGTCAAGCGCATTAATTCGCCGGTGCAATAAAACGCATCGCACGCGCTCGCCCGTGCATCCGGATGAGCCGCCGCCGCCGCCGCCGCCGCCGCCGCGGTGTCCTCGCTCGCGTATTGTAATGCGTATACGTGCGTCCTCCTCGGCGTACGAGTCTTTGGCGTTTCGAAGAAAGTCGCGGCTTTCACCCTATATAGTCCCGAGCACTAAAATCAACCTGTTTACCCGACGCCTTGGTGCTTTCCTTTGGAAACTCTTGAAAAGTTCATTTCGACTTAGTCCATCGTCGGCGCTGGAAAGAGCGAGAGAGGGATTGCTATCGAGAGCCGGCTGTTTGTCCCAAATAGTAACGGAATAGCGAAAGCAGTGTTCTGCGCGTACAATTCCCGCGTCTGTAGAGCGGGAAAAGAGCCTGAAGAGAGATGCGCTGTTCCATGGGATAATCGATCGCGTTTATCGCGGTATTCTGAGCATAGGAGACGTTTTATTATACGACCACATCGACCGTCGCGATCCGCGATGCTCGACGACCGTAAGTAAGCGCGAACACGCACGCGTCTTTTTCCATCTAAGGACGGCTGGTACCAAATCGGAAAACTTGACTTACTCGACGGTTTTGGCATCCAGGAACGCCGGAAGTACAATACGATCGTCACGGAGGACTTTATTCGAGCGACGAGTGGCTTTAAAAGCACGACTTTTAATAAACCCGGCGAGAGGGAGTTTTCTTCAAAGAAGGGGAGAGCTTTTATTTTTTACAATAAACCATTACTACTTATATATCATACTAGTGGTAAGTCGGAATTTTAAGTTATAAATCTTAAGAAACTTACACCACCACCATATCCAGAGTAAATTATATTAAATCGTTACGTCACAATATTTTAGCCAATCAGAAGAGTGATAGTTCCCAGGGCACATAATAATAAATTTTTAATCGTAAGATTTGGAATTCGGTCATCTTCACGCAGTCACTGATTACTAACTTATTGTTGCTTCATGACACACTACTGATTCGCCTACACAACTCATTCTATAACTTAATTTATTATTAATGGCTTATTATAGAAAGTCGTATTAGGGAAAAGACGTATCCCCTGCGAAAGAGACTCACGGGAAAAAATGGTCCATCATATTCGCTTATTAGTTCTGGCGGTTCTACCTTGTGTGGGGGGGTAGGAGAGTGTTTAGGAAGATGGCAAGGCGGAATGAGCGTTGGGGTGGGAGACATATAGCTCTCTGAGGTGGCCCGTGGCTCGTGCTAATTCAGTCGAAGCGCGAACTTGGCCAGCAAATTGTTACGAATGACAATCCTGATTAGAATCAATCATTAGGTCTATCGGCGAACCGACCTTTCTTGCGGATGGCCGTTGAATGTACCGTTCGAATGTCGCGTTCATTGTGGAATCGAGCGTCAAGGATCATTGTTGATGTACGGATCTGTTTACGTCTTGCGCGCGTCGGGGATAAATGTCCCGACGCGACGTAGGTAGATCCGTTCCCAAAATACTTGAGTTTTTCTGACGGATGACGTGACGAAGGAGACGGCAGGTGCTAGGAAGAAGCGTGTAGGAAGGCGAATTTTCTTGGCCCACAGCTCGCAGTCTTTTGGCAGTTTCGCAACTAGAACTGCGCGTCGCAACGGTCGACCTTAACCCGGTGTCTCTTCATTGAGCGGTGAACTTGAGCAATAATCATACGCTTCGACTTTTCGAAGAGGAAAGAAAGATAGTCGAAGTCCGCTTCTTCACGTGAAATCTCATAAATCAAAATGCAACGTAAACTTAGGAAATCTATCACTTAGATGTTGGACGGTTGTTGGACCGTTCGTTCTAATTTCTCTGTGCGCGCGTGTGTCATGTGTCAAGTTGATGGGGAGTTGACATCGATTGGACTCGACGGCGGCAGGACGAGTTTCGACTTTCCAAGTTCTTTCTTCCCATCGAACTTTCTGCCGAACTCTCTTCGATACGGGATACAGTCGGTGCGTTTAAAAATTTGCACGAGTATCGAGTGAACGGGCGCAAACGATATTTATTACCGCCGGGATTATACATTGACCTCTCCGCAATAATTAGGGTGGTTGCGGATGATAGAGGGCAATAAGGGCAGTGCGGCGTCCACGTATATTACGATCAAGATACTTATGTAGATTGATCACGGCACGTGGGTCGGTTTATCGATACGGCAGAGAGCGGGTAGGTCGGTCTGGCCGATGACAGACGATCGTGTCCGCGTCGCGATTTTCGGGAATAAACCGATCGAGGGAATAACTGATGCACATCGATGACGACGCTGATTGCAGATCGTGAGTCCAAAGAGACTCCTCACAATACCACCTACACAGTGACGGCGAGGACATCGCTGGAAACGCGGGATCAGGCCGCGCAGACCATCGTGCCCTACGTGGACTTCCGCGTGGAACAAGCGGAACGAGCCGCACAGGCACTCGCTGTGAGCGTAGGCTACTTGGCATTCGAGGTATACGCATTTTGTATATGGCAAGATTATTGCCTTATGTTCTCTATTATAATTGACCAATGCCCATTTTCACCAACGTAGTTTAACTTTAATCTCGGTTCAACTTACTCTTTGCCTTTCTCTAATCTTTAGAAATCGTTATAATTAGAAAAAGACGATAAGTAAGTTGAACCGAGATTAAAGTTAATCTACGTTGGTGGAAATTGGCATAAAAGATCCAGTTCCTCGCGGACGGTTAACTCTTAATCGAGGTTCAACTTATTGTTCATCTCTTTCCAATTCTAGAATTAGAATTAACCTACGCATCGTGGAACTGGGCCTAATTTGCTGTTTTACGTTTTTCTATGTGCTTTATTTTTCGTCAATGGCTGCTTTGAACAGAGAAAGCAACTGTTTTGCAACTGTTCTAATATTCTGATTGGTTCAAACATTTAAATTGAGCGAGAAACTAAGGGCAAGATTAATCACATTAGAATTTAATAATAGTTACAAAGTTGCTTTTTCTGCCGAACGCTGCCATTGTTTGCCATTTAATATAAAACGAGAGAGGTCTTCGCGAATCAACGGCGTAATAAAACTGCGTCTTTCAGCTGGACGCTTTTGCCACTCCTAAATTGAAGAAGGATTTCGAAAAGTTGAAGGCCGATTGCGAGGAGATGAAAAACGAACGATCGGCTTTGCTTTCGGAGATCGACGTTTTACGCGCGAGATGTGTCAGCATGGAGGAAAGACTCGAGGTGGAAAGGGAGGATCATCGTAAAGCGCTGGACCAGCTACGCGATGAGTGTAAGTCTTGTCTTATGTAACATATCTGTTTATTTTCTTCGGATCTTTCGCGGATATATATACATATGTATATATACACACACGTTGCGATGACGCAATAGGTGGTTGAAAAAAAAATATCTGAACTGTTCACGGTATGTGCGCCGCGAAACAAATGCGAGAAACTGTATTGTTCAACAGACACTAAGACGTCGCCAGTATATATTACACTTAGTATTACTCACGTGTTATTCAACGAGCGTAATCGTCCTAATGTCGGTGCACGACACGAAGTGGAACAATTATTAATTAAAGTGAACGACTCAGTAGTGCCTACGCATAACTCGAATATTTGCGATTAATCCTAATAATATGCCTGTCGTCTCTTTCTTTTCTTGCTAGAAAATATTTCGAACTCTTCGCTGAAGGATTTGGTTCTTAATTTAGTTCTCACGTAATGTTCGACGTTTCGATAGCCGCTAATTATAGATTCAATGCGTGCTCTTCGTTTAGCTTTGTATATACTTTTGCTTTTCAACTCTCAGGGCCAATATAAAATATATTTATATTATATTATAACATTAGAATCATATTGAAAAATGGAATTTTTATTTATTATTTATTTAATAATGGGAAATTCTTTTTTGATACATATTTAACGTGATAAATAAATACTAATGGACGAATTAAAAAATAAAAGAGATGTAAGATAAAAATAAAAAGAAAGAGGAATGAGAAAGTAAAAGTATACATACAGATAGCATTAAATATATTAATATATAAAAATAACATTGACTCTTTATCGGCAACATGAATTTTAATTCTTCCGTCAGCAGGTCTTCGAAAAATAGAGTAAATTTTTTATTGCTCCGAATTACATAAAAAGCTAAAAAATTCTATCTTTGTCAAAGCAATGAATTTTTCATTATCGTCGATCATTATAGTCGAATTTTATTGTACTTATCTTTTTATAGATTTGTATTTAGTCAAAATTTCGCAATAAAAATATCAATAGTGTCTTTAAAGAGTAGTTATCGGAATCTCACGTTATCGGCAGAGATTATTAATGTGTATTCATTTGTTATTGATACACATTAATAAAAAGTTGATTAGGTATACTAGAACAAATTATATATTTAAAGTTTCCACATAAAGTATGATGATAAAGATTATAGCAGTTTGCCGTCTGAAAATGAAACATTCAAGTTAATATTTCGATTTTCCAGTGGAGACTCTTAGGACGAAACAGGTTGCCACACTCGTTGAAACTTTAAAAGAAGAGAGGCACAAATTCGACATCAGGCTGGATGAAGTCACGAGAGAACATCGTGCGACAATTGCGAAATTACGTGCCGAGCAGATTAATGAGCTGGCTCGCAAAGAAGAGATGAGAAGATCCGTGGTTCACGATCAGGGTGCCGCGCTGATGGCGGAGATCGAGTCACTGAGATCTGTGCTCGAGCTGAAGAGTCAAGAGAATGCGGCTCTTCGATCAGAGCTGGACAGTTACAGGCGGGATATCGAGGAGAAGGACGCTTTGCAAATACGACTCGATATGGCGGAGGCCAGATGCGAGGACTTGAAGGCTCAGCTTCAAAGGAAAGACTCCTTCGAACGACAAATCTCGCACGAGAATGAAATGCTTCACGAATCGATTCATCAAGTCTCGAAGCACAACAAGCGACTATCCCAGCGGAACGAGGAGCTGCAGTGGAAGCTACGAAACAAGAACGACTGGGTGAGCGTTCTTGCGAATCAGCTTAATCCACGGTTAACTCGATCCGCAGGTTCGGAACAAATGGAACACAGCTATTCGCTCGAAAAGAATGGCGCTCATTCGTCGTCATCGATGGTGAAGTTCATGGTCGAAAAGGGTGCCTCCGTTTCTTGGACGCTGGAAATCGACGATTTATCTAAGGGGGGGACGTCTGACTCGCTCAGCACATTGCCGAAAGTTGCCAGGTCCTCCGAGGGCGCAACGACAGTGTCTAGGCAAGGATCGCTCAGGTTGACGCCGAACACTAGACCTACCATAGACACCAGAGCGAGATCGAAAAGTATCTCTACTACATGTGATTCGGCGCGGACCACGGCAGTGGAAGAGGCGGCCGCATGGTCGCCTTCATTCAGCTCGACGCCGGTCTCGCGGCGACGTCCTAGGAAAGATCAGTCGTCACCTTCCTCGTCATCTTCTTCATCGTCTTCCACGTCGTCTACGACACCTGCCGTGAATTCTGCAGTGGCCGCCGCAGTGGCGGCCGCTGCAGCGGCAGCAGCAGCGGCGGTGGATGATTGCAACGTCGGCGGCGGTCAGAGACCACAGGAAGCTGGCGGGGAAGCGATGATCTCCGAGGAAACGTCGGCGTCCAGCAGCGAGGACGAATCGTCCACCGGCAGCGATATCCCCCGGCTGGGAATACAGTTTGCTTGGGGCAAGCCGATCAAGTAACACTTGAGCGAACAATCGCGGCCTGCTATTAACTGTTTACGTGTTCCTTCTCCCGCGTAAACAACAGTGTTGTTTCGAATCGCGAATTATCGTACGGCCGCTGTCTCTGTTCTCTTGCCTACAGTGGAGTCGTTCCACGACGTGTATTCGTTGCGGATCTTCGTTGATCATTCCCCTTCGTTCGTTTGCAGATACGTTTCATGTTGTGTAATGCCGGCACCACGCCTCTTTCGTTTTTTTTTTCTTTTCCAATCGATACATCTAGCCGAGATTTAGAGCGAGAAGAGTGGCGTTTATGTTTTAAGCAAGCAAACGTGCCGCGCGATAAAACGTTGTAAGTTAGTGAAATGTTTAAGGATGAATTCCACGATGTATTTTAATGTTACGACTGTATAAATTAGATTAGTACCATTGTTTCCGTGGTTTTTTCAATTACAAGGACGTTTCATCTTCCCCGACACACGTTTTGCATTGCGATTTAAGGCAGCGATTTTTCGCGGTGGATTTAAGATTAGGATCTTCGAAATCCATTACGTAATAATTTTCCGACATGCATACAACGAAACTGCTTCGTTTGCTGTAATCAAGGCAGCCGTGCCTTTCTTTCAGGCAGTATTCGCCTACAAAGTTCATAACGTGCAGAGTCACGCAGGAGTTTTCTTTTTTGTTTGTCTTTTTTTTTTTGAACTTTGACGGACATTGAAAAAGGGAAGTTCAATGTCGTTTTGGCTAACAGCTTTTATTGCGGTTTTTCCGAGAATTTTACCGGATGTTATTCGGGTACTTTTATAATTACGTGAGTACGTTTTATAAGCGTCACCTATTTTTTGTTTTTGGTACAGAGACCACGTAGTATTGCGAAGATTAAATATACATATATTATATATAAGAACATGACAAAAGAAAAATATTCCTCGTTCCTCGCGATCATGCCGATTTTCGTACTTGTAAGTCGAATTCTTTTTCAGATGATGCGCGTCTCTTGTGTTTTCCGTTTGTTGCGTTCTCGCAGAAAAAAAAAAGAAATCCGATTGCCGATTCTTGCCGGCACTACGGACGGCGTTTGTTTGTATCTTCGCGCGCAATAACCGAATCATGGATGATCTACCTGGTAGATGCAGCAGAGCAGTGATAACCGTTAGCGGCAAACTTGTAGCACGTTCCGACAAGAGCGTTAATTTCACAGTCCGTTCCATAGACAAGTGGTAGCTTTTAGATTATAATGAAAGAGAGAATTAATCAATCGCGCGCTCGACATACGGAAGCCAAGTATTACTCATCGAGAAAGTATGTTTTCTTTTCTCATGTGTGCTGATAAGATCGATGTATTATATACTTCTCGAATAAATAAGTATCATCTAAATTGTAGAGCAATCTGGGGAGATTTCCGTTTGCCTTTATCGCTACTATATTAGTTAAGATTAGTCAGAGAGATTCGTACTTCGATTCGACTTTACTAATTAACTCATATTCAATCACGTAAAAAAAAAATTCAGTTTAATAAAAGAAAAATGTTAATATTAAAGAAATTTAGTGAAAATTTATGTTAAATTAATCGGCAAAATCATCGTGAGAATTTACGCGTAATATTTTTGCGAATAACGAATGTAAGATCGTGAGATGAATTATGCAATTGCATGATTTATAATTCACTCGCACAAGTAGGAGATATGATTAGACTGTTGAGATCATTATTAATTAGATTATCTTGTTGATTACACTACTGTGATGTCCTTTTTGTTTGAAGATTAATAAAGCGTTTTGTTATGCAAGTCGCACGCGTTATCTCATTTTTTTTTCCCGCGATACTTAATACAGAGATATCGTTTATATCTATAATTTCAATTTTAGTTATTAGGAATAAAGTAAAAACGAAGATTATACAAATAAAAATAAACTTAGAATTTTGTTATTATCGCATACGATAAGTTTATCGAAATCACACACACACACACACACACACACCTCGGTATTTATAGTTCGATTTTATATTAAACTCATTTTCACAGTGCCGGGTATCTGGAATGTAATTTTGTTTGCTGTTTCAAGAGTTATTGGTAAATTGGCGTAAAATTTAAAACGTACGTTTGTATTACAGTAGTACTGGTTAAAGGATGACGTAAATATACACTTAAAAAATTATATAAGAACGCTATTTATTTAATTTTATATTTAAAACCATTTTAGGTGATTACTGATTTTAAATGGCGGTTTTTTAATTCAGATTTTTAGTAGATAAATTTTAATAGTCTAAAGTCGATTCGAGATATTTTGCGATAATTGTCTTAAAGACATTTTATGTTCCGATTTTAGACTTTATTATTGTGTTAATTACCTGAGAAGATAGTTTATAATTTAAAATAATCATATAGCATCTCTTGAAATGATTTAAAACCCTTTAGTGTCTACGGAAACAATGTATTTGAGTATAGCACCCAACTAACTCGATTGCTTTCATAAAAATGAACAGTATTGTAAAAAAAATGTTTTTAATCGAATACAGGTCTTAAGGAACGTAACGATATCAAACAAATGTATGTATCTTTATTGAAAAATATGATAAACATGAAAAAAGCATTTAAAAAAAAATCTTTTTTTTTTTTTTAATTTTATTCAGAGCGGTATCATTTCTCTATCCTCGTGTCTAATTTTCGCAGATTTTCGAAAATCGCTTGTACAAAACCGAGCTTAAAATCCGTATCAGATTACTGAACTTGCTGCATTGTGATTGGTTGAAATAAAACCGAGTCGCAAGTCTGATACGGGCTTAAGGACTGTCCTCGGTGAATTCGCGAACACTCCGTCAATCGCACCATCTACGATGGCCGACAGTCAAAGACTCCGATACACCTCGGTTTTGTGGTTACCTTAATTTATTGACAAAAATGTAACGCTCTATTTTTAATTGGCCATGCTACCGCATCAGACGGCATGACAATCGTCTCCTCAACCGTGTTTATGTTATTCTTGTTTCTATAAATATCTGCACGCGTGCTCTTTACTTGAGATCTCCGGGTCTGACATCGACGCGAAGATGTCTTCGAAGAGGTACATTCCGATTGTTTTTGCATCTTTCTTTTTCTCTTTCTCTCTCTCTCTCTTTCTTTCCTCTTTTTTACTTTTCGACATATACTAGTTTGACTGCGCCGAATTGTCTTTGAGATATTATTTATAGCGGCGAAATGGAATGTGGATCCTTCGACGAACGATTTTTAGTTCCCCGACGATTGACCTCTCCGACTCTTTGTCCTTTTAACCTGCAATCAAACGATTGTTTACTACATTGCAATCCGTTCTTTGGATTCTCTCCTGTGATGAAGTAACTCTGTTGAAATGCGTAGATTTTTCAGTCCTGAACGGATAAATAAGAATGACCATCTGACAGACGAATTTAATTCACTGAGATTTTGAATCATTTCAACTTTAAGAATAAGCCTTTTACAAAATATATAAGAAATTCTTTTGCAAATTCCAACAACATGAACGTCAACATTTGTTGCAGAAAATTATGTACATTTTTATTGTTTATATTTTTATATTTTTTAGTGAATTAAAAAAATTATCGGAAGAAAGTCTGACGAGACAGCCAGAAGAAGTGTTTGATGTTATATGCAAATTAGGAGAAGGGTAAATTTGATATTTACTTTAATCTGATATTTAAGCAACAGCTTTTTTTTCACTGTTTCTAAATATGTACTTCTGTACAGGTCCTATGGATCAGTTTACAAAGCGTTGCATAAAGAAAGTGGACAGGTACTTGCTATTAAACAAGTACCAGTGGATACGGACCTACAGGAGATTATTAAGGAAATTTCAATCATGCAACAATGTGACTCTCCATATGTTGTTAAATATTATGGAAGTTACTTTAAGAATACAGATTTGTGGGTAAGTCAATATATGCTCTGTTTTATCATACCAAACAAATTGGACTATCTGTCGATACTAATATTACTTGCAGATTGTGATGGAGTATTGTGGAGCTGGTTCTGTTAGTGATATCATGAGGTTAAGAAAGAAGACTCTCCAAGAGGATGAAATCGCGACAATCCTGAGTGATACTCTAAAAGGACTGGAATACCTTCACTTGAGAAGAAAAATTCATAGAGACATTAAGGCTGGGAATATTCTTCTTAATAATGAAGGCCATGCAAAGTTGGCTGATTTTGGTGTGGCGGGTCAATTAACGGTGAGTTATGAGAATATACTTTTAAGCCGAAATTTATCAAATCTAAACATTTAACAGATTGAAGGACTCTTCCTATACAAAATAAATAACAATAAATAAAGAGTAAAGTAAGAGTCAACATATTTCTTTAAAAAAGTCACACAACTAAAAGAATAAATTACAAATAGAGAAAAGTAAAATCAAAGAAAATATATAATAAAAAATAAAAAATAATAAAAACTCAGTTTAAATACAAATAAATTACAAGTTTCGGCTATTGGATTGAGTCCTCTTCAGACATTAACTTATCGAAAAAAAAACCGCAGTACAAAATTAATTATTGCAAATGTTCGCATATTTATTATATTCACAGTTCAGATGAGTCTTGATATAGAACTCGACATTATTCACATACGATTGAATAGTCATATGTGTTTCATATCTCTTGGAAAAGTTCAAAAATCATATGTAAATTATTCAAACGAATGTGTCCATATAAGTATAAAAAAACCATTAGAATATATAAAGACAAGTGGAATGCAGATGTGTAAGACGGACATTGTGTATCGATTATTATGTACGCTCGCTGATGCGGATCACCACTCTTACTTTGCTTTTTATTGTTATTTATTATCAAATCTAAATTGTATTCTCTGGAATAGGATACCATGGCTAAACGTAACACAGTCATTGGTACACCATTTTGGATGGCACCAGAGGTAATACAGGAGATCGGTTATGATTGCGTGGCGGATATATGGTCTCTGGGAATAACAGCCTTAGAAATGGCCGAAGGCAAGCCGCCGTATGGCGACATACACCCGATGAGAGCAATATTTATGATTCCTACTAAACCACCACCTAGTTTTAGAGAACCTGATCAATGGAGTCCAGAATTCATCGACTTTGTCAGTGGGTGCCTTGTAAAAAATCCCGAAGAAAGAGCTACTGCAACCGAGCTTTTGCAGCATGAGTTTATAGGTGAGTAAAATATTAAAATATTAAAATTTATATTATGATACTTTGTCAATTAACAAGTTTATGTTATATGATGTAGGCAATGCCAAACAGCCAAGTATCTTAAGTCAAATGATCGCCGAGGCTCATGAAATACGAGAAAAGCAGAATGCGCATAGAGCTCACATTATAAACAATGTGGCGATTAAAAGTCAAAACCAGGCAGAGGATTCGGTACACACCTTTGATTAGATACACATGGTCTGCTAGTTTCATATTTGATATGTTGCACTTTTATTATCTAAATGTAAATCAATAATATACATAAAAAAAATATTTAAAAGTACCTAAAACATAAAAAATATGCATCCATTATTTGACTAAAGATGATTTGAATTTATATGATCTAACTGTGCAATATGGAAAAAATTAAAGGTGCTAGCAGTTCATATATATGTATTTCCCGAATAGTTTCGGGTCTCGAATAGTTTCGGGTCTCGAATCAAGTATTTTATCTCGACATTCAGGTACCCGAACATTGGAACCTGTCCGACCCGACCCGATTATTATCCGATTCGACCCGAGGCTCGGGTATCTGAATTTTTTCGGGCACACCCCCTAGTATATATACATATTTATCTAACATTGTGTCTCTGTGTAAGGACGAGGACGATTGTAGTGGAACTATGAAACCATTACCGGAAGATAGCAGGACTTTAGTACCGAGTCACGATCTTCCAGACACGGGTACACTAGTTTCGGCGATGTTGGACTTGGGTACAATGGTTATTAATAGTGATACCGATACCGAAGCTACTATGAAGAGTTAGTAGATCTTAATTAATCTTCAAATTCTCACAAAAAAATGATTCGCAACTAACTGACATTCTTTTCAGGACATAATACTGGTTCTGTAGAATCCAGCAAAAAATATCGACCATTATTCTTAGATCACTTTGATAAGAAAGAAGCGCCTGAAATTGGAAAGGTAATCTTTCTTTTTCATATTAATTTAAGTTACCTAGATATGATCTACGTATACAATATTAATAATATTGAATAATATTGTATTTAGGGTAATGGACAGATGTTGGGAGCACACAATATGGAAAATGCGAACCAATTGGAGCAACCAAGTCCAATCGAATCTCATAGGTTTCAAAGTCATCTGCAACTACAGCTGCAGAATCAGATCTCTCATCCCGTGCCGGAACAGCCATATAACAATATATCAAAGTTTCAAAATGTTTTCACGGAACGTGATTTTGACTTTGTGAGTAAAATTTTTTCCAACATTCTTATTTTAAGAATTTATATAATTGATTTGCGCGACATGTTTCTAATTATTGACGTAACAGGAGAAAATGATTTATCACTTTTTATTTTATAATATTGTACAATTCACATTTTGTGTATCAAATTATTTGGAATAATGCCGCTTCAGGCATTATTCCAAATAAAGAAATGATAACTTAAATATATAGAGAAGCCGTATCCTGCAGTTGAAGTTTCTCTCTTACGAGGAACTACAGCAACGAATGGCTAATCTGGACGCGGAAATGGAGCGGGAGATCGACGAGCTGAGAAAAAGATATCAAACGAAGAGACAGCCTATTCTGGATGCCATTGACACCAAGCGGAAACGTCAACAGAACTTCTAACAGTCCTCCTTTACGCGAATAAGTGATGACGGATAAACAAAGGGTGTACAGTTGTATAAATGAATAGATTCTATTCGCGTCATCCCTGGCTTCATCAAAGAGAAGAACATTGTTCCCACACCGTGAATATTTTACCTCATAAATGGACAAACGTGTAGCGATTGTGGTTTCCTGTTTACTCGCAAATCACAATGTTGCTTTTCTTTATGAATCCTAGGGTATTAGAATAATAGCTAATAGCCTCACGTCATCAATGTAAATTTTACATGATTTAGATGAAGAAACAATCACAATACTTAATTTTTGTATTATGTTTACCTATATTTACTGTTAAATATATCCTATTCTTGTAGGGATATTCTGAGAGACTCCTCTAGGGTCATTAGAAAATAAAAAGAAATGCAATAGGAGCGCAGAGACAAATGCATCATAATTACAGTCGTTTTTATCGAGAAAGAAATTTTATATTTACTTGAAAAGAAATCGGTATTTCGTATCGTGCTACGCTAGTCATTTATAATGCCATTTTATCCAGAATATAAAACAGATCATTAATTCATGTAAAATGCACTTAAACGGCTAAGCAGTTTCTTGAGTGTGAATGCTCTATTTAATCATGACAGTTTGGAATAAGCGAACAAGGCTGTAAGATTTAATTTACTTTTTATTCTACTGCCATAGATAGACTCTCTACTCTCATTTGTTTACTAATGCTAACCATTAACTTTAGTTTATATCAATTCTCTAAATGATTATATTTACTTTTTAAATTGGAAACATGTCCAACACCAATATGATCGTAATTCTAAAGCAATGAATAATGTTCTTCAGTATGCAGTACCATGACGAAAAAATGATGCCGCATTCTACGAGATATTTCATAAACGAACTTACTAGTATTAGAGTCTTCCGCGCACCGTATATTAGAAAGTATTCTCCAGTATGCTCTAATTTACTTTATCACGATATGAAAATTGTTGAAACTGAAATTTATCAGATTTCACTAACGATAATGATATTTTTAGAATAATATAAAAAAGTTCGTATAGGGTAATGCCTTAACAATAATTATTTTATGTATAAAGCACTAAAAATTTTTGACCGCATATTTTTTTGTGATCGTTACAAAATAAATATATTTGTACGTGCCATTAATACATATGGCGAATAATCATAGTGGAAGAATAATTCCTTGCTGACGTCTGGGCTATTTTGCAAGTAGTGAAAATAGAGCTATACTTAAATGCGCTATAGCCAGAACTGATCTTCAATTTTCTTCTTTTAGAAAATAATACAGAATAACATATTTTTGATATAGAAGGTTGCACATTGTCAATGAAATAAGGTCCGAATTTGAAGCATATATTATCCATAATCTTGATACTCGCAAACAGAAGTATAATATTAATAAGATTTCCAAAGAAAAAGAATGAAATTGTTTCACAAATAAAATTATGCTTCAATATCGTTTTATATACAAAATGCAATATGTAAACTGTACATACTTTTTTTTAGAAATCCTTTTAAATAATTTGAATGATTGTATTCGTTCCATTATTTATGTATTTGTTAAAATTGTGATTTTATTATACTCTCATTTTATAATTCATATACGATTTGAACATGAAGATGTTTGTAAATTCTTTACATTCTTACATAAAATTGTAGCTTTACAAACTTTATATTTCTACATTTTATGCTGTTATAAAAATCTTCCTTAAACTTACGACGTATGTTCATAATGTTCTGCGCTATCTGTTCTAAGAGTAAAACAATAAAACAGATAAAAATTTATAGAAAAATGTCACAAAGAAGTACACTAATGCATTTTCTACACGATTGTCAGTCATTTAGCCTTAGCTAGCAATCACTTTTCAATACAGATTTATAGTTACATATTTTATAGGGCAATAATCCATAATAATCGTCTTTATTTTTCCACTTGAAAATATGGCTTTGTATTCATATCTAATCACGACAGTTTTATGACAACTCCATGATTTTACATTCGTATTGTGTATTGTATAATCTATTACAGTGTTTGGCTGAAATATAGAGACTGAAGACAGAAGTATGTTTTCCGAGTGAATGATTTAGTGAAAAATATAGTCTGATAATAGAATGTAACAACATTTAGAATGATGTTTAATATCGAAGCGAGAATTATTAATAGTTTTGTTTAGATAATGACTAAAGCAAATATTAACATGCTGCCTTTTCAATCAGTTTGTTTAATTATAATAAAACATTATACAAACTATGCGCGTTTGATTTCTTTAGTTTGATTTTTTTTATTAATGATACAAACGTATTATTAATACTAATCCTATTATTAAGTACTTCGTGCACAAGTATTTTTTGTATATAAAGTTTTGATGCAAGTTCATTTTCAGTTTATATCAGATCGGTTATCACTGAAATTGGACGGTATATAAAAATGTATAAAGAATGTTTTATAAAAAGTTATCAATAAATATAAATGCATTTTAATCACATACAAAACACACTAAGCACGCATTATTCAACAAAATCTTAAATACCCGTACCGTTAATTTTTTAATTGGAAAGAGTATTTCAACGATTTGTAAAATATCTTAAAAAATATATATTTTTTACATTTTAATAAGGCATATCCTGTTACTTTTTTATCACTATGTTTTCGCGTCAATCTTTAAAATTTATTTGGCTCATAAATCGTCATCTCCTATCATACGAAAAACATTATTTTCCATGACATCGAGATCCTTTGTTTGAGTTTTGTCAATAACACTTCGTGAATCATCTGATTTTTTTGACGTCACAGCCGACCATTTGTTAGCAAGTTTTTTAATAATTGGTCCCGATTTAGAATGATTATTATTCACACATTCTTGCAACGGCGATCCTGTAATGGTACGACTTTGGCCGTCTCTCATAATATATGTCCATGATTTCCCAGACTCTGTCTATAAATATATTTATGGATGAAAAAACTTGACAGCATTTACGTAATCTAAAACAGTTTATATAACAACCTGAGGTTTACTCCCAACTACACATTTCTGCAACAACTCATCAATCATAGCTTGCAGACAAACAGACATTAAAATCGCTTGTTCGGACACAATTGTAATCCATTGTAATTCATTTCTAGCAATCAGATATTCGAAGGATAATTCCAAACTGCACTCGTTATTATCCTTATGATGCTCCGTTCCCTAGATATATCCATTAATAAATTTTATTGACAATCTAAATAAAAACTTTCCACTAAAACATTCATAACACTCACATTTTGTATAGTAGTTATACGCCAGCATCGCATTCGTGATACTTTAAACGCAATTTCGTGCTCTTCGGACGATAATACACGTAAATTCAATTCATTTTCACCTATAGCAAGCAATACTTTCGAGCTACGTTCGGGATAATCACAGTAACATGGTGCAAATTGTATGTAACCATAGTACTTCAAGAGACGAACTACATTCAGATACTGAAATAATGAAGATAACATCACAAATTATTTAGATATTATTTGGAGGGTATTATTTGCCTTTCACAATGAACGTACTTCTTTTTTACTCTCAGATTTTTGCAGATTTTCCAATTGATGCTGCACCTCCTTGGTAATTGGAATCCAACTGCTGCGAATTTCCACAGCCGCTTGAATGTATAGTAAATTTAACGTTACCGGATCGTTCAACAATTCAACATCATATGCTGTATCCCAGTAATTTTTTCTGAGAACAATTCGCGTATTCGTAGAACTCATATATTTGTATGTTATAAATGGTGATTCAAAATTTTGTAGTTTCCGCAGTACTGGTAAAAAAAAAATAAAATACATATATTAAAAGAGAAAACAAAATATGTAGATGTATTACAATAAATTATAAAAGTATACATTTACTTTCACAGTGTATATACACTTACTTTTGATACTACCGGATGACTCATCTTGTGTAATAATAAACAATGCAAAATGAAAATGATATTTTTCTGCTAACTTTATATGTTTGTACACCCTCTAGAAAAGAAAGTATTTTAATAATTATCATGTTTATGTAAAATTACCTTTTTTTATGTATATTAATTATGCAAATAGTTATACCTTTAAAACTTTACCAGAATACTCTTCTGGCGAAATATTTAATGAAATTTTAGATCCACTCATAAGAAATATATCTAAAGTTTCTTGCTCGGACAGGCCATTTACGCTTTCTTGTTGAGCACTCAATAAGAATCCATTTAATATTTCCGAGTTATTGATGGCTATATTTTGTCCAATGGACTGAATATATTTCTCTAAAGCCAGCCGCCGTTCCTCTTGCTGTGTAGCAGTCAAAGGAAAAAATTTCTTTGGAGGAAATATAGGTAACAACATGTCCAGGTCCTTTGACAATTGTACGTGCAGATTGTATAGTTGTTTGTATCTTGCGGTACAATGAAATAATCCATTGATATGAATATTATATCCCTATAATTTCATGAGATATTATTACATAAATCTATAAATTAATTAATTATTTCTATAATAAATTTTTATTCTAGAAATAATTAAGCACACAATATATAATGCAATAAATAATAAACAATTATATCACTTACGATATACGTGTTCCCAGCACTATCTATAAATTCCTGAGTATCTGGTATGGAAAAGTGCATCTTGACAGTACAAGAATATATTGAAAAGATAAAAATATTATCATAAAATCACATTATCTGTGGCAAAATTTATTAACTTTGTGGTCCTCTTCAACATAGCAACATCTGTGAAGAAAAATAAAGGGTTAAACTAAAGAAAATATAATTTTCAAATTTTTCGATTTACTAGAATAAAATCTGTGACTAAAATTAACACGTGGGATGCAAGTCGCTGTACACTGAGTCATTATTCGTTAGGGAATGACGTTCCCGGATAAAGGCGATTCAATCCGCCCACCGGCCGAACGTGTCTTGTCTCCTTATTTTCTTAGAGAGGAACGACCCCGAGATCCGGATCGCGACGGAAAGAGATCGTAGAAAGCGATGTCCCAATAATCTTCCGAAGCTTCGGTGGAAGCCATGGGATATTCTTTCCCGAGCCGGAGTTCACATCAGCTAGTTCACATCGACATCCGTTACGGACTCACATTGTTGTGCGACTTTCGTCGTTTGCGGGACCTCATACGTGACAGCGGATCTAATCGGTCACTCACGCCCACTTGCGCGTTATGTTTCACGCGATTATTACTACTGACACGCATTTAAACCCCAGGACAGCTCGCGGCTGCTCCGCCGCGAGCGAGAAAATGTGTCATATGCGCTCGCAAGTTTGCGCGTGAATGACGCGCGTTCGCTTCGCACTGTTTCTGTTCGCAGCAATTTATAGCGTTCGAATTGCAGCGAATGCGGTTAGTGTGTCACACAAAGGAATGAACTCAATGAACCGATATAGTCGATAAATAGTAGCGAAAGACTCTTCTCATATCAACATATGAATTAAAAAAATGTATTAGGCAATGTGCAACGAGAATATTTTGCATTAGTTGGAATGCGCGTTTTTCGCGAAAAATATTGTCACAATTATTTTTGGTAAAATATATTAATATTAATAAATATCTTAAACCAACAATTAATTTTCAATGAAATTGTGACGAATGGCGATGTGTTAATTTTTATACCATACGAGCTCTTAATGCGTTTAAATTTAATTTATTTGTAGTGTAATAATTGTAGTAATAATTTAATGCTAATATTAAAAAATTATTAATGTTCAAACCGGATTTCTTTTTAAATCCTCAATTATGAATAACGAATATATTTAGATGCAATTGGTATAAAAAAATTACTTATTTTAAACATTAAAACCACTGAACAATAATTCATTTTTAATTCTAAAGTTACCTTATTATATAAAATTATAAAGAAAAAATTAAGGACAAGTTGATCGGAATTAGCAAGTGGCGGTGATGGAGGATATTATCAGAGCTCTTTTTTACCGATGGTCGACAATAGTGTTACCCGCTGGAAATATTTGTGGCTACATAGTTCCATGTTCATATAAAGGCTGGAGACACTAGTAAACGGGTTTCATTAAAAGCATGTTCTTCCTTCTGTTTGTCACTGTTTGCTGATATTTGCATCTTTTGTGAAAGAATTTAATGAGAGAAAACGTGGTTTTTTTATATACAAAATACGAAAAAGAAACTGCTGGCTGAAGACAATTGGTTTGATAAAATAGGTAATATAACGTTTGTATGAAAGAAATCTTGATATATGGAACTATGCTTGCGCTAAAAGATTATGGTAGCAGCGATGAAGGTAGTGAGACTGAAAACGTCGACTTCGCGTCCACGGTTTCCGGTGACAAATTCACGACTAATGTTCAAATTTGTTCGGCCCCGGAAGTCATACCTACTGTAAGTATTTACGTGCGTTCACTCCGTTTTTAATAGTTGTTTTTAAGGTTATGAATATTGGTAGTGAATGCTTGCCATTTGGTGACACAAGTCGACACAAGTAATGTTCTATCTTCGTTATTCGCTGAATACCAAGAAAGATAGAATATTTGTGTCAATTTTGGAAAGCATTCACTATTATTATCTGCATTGTATAAGTATTTTTACTTTTTTTGATGAAGAAGGAATAAACAGTCACTTATATCGATATTATTTAGGGAACAGAATTGTGTGTAAAACACATAGATCCGACTGCATCAGAAGTTACACATAATCCGAAGTATGAGGAACTTTTTGGACCTGAGATAGGACCAGAAAATCCATTTAAGACACAGCAGCAGCGCGCGGTGAAAAATATACTATCTGGATATGTAGAACGCGCGCATATAAGTGAATTTCAGTTTGAAAATCAGAGAAGGACATTTACCAGTTATGGTACGTATAATATACAATTGACGAGTAATATTTTTTTATCTCAACGAAATCTGGATTCTCGAAACTATGTTTACTCTATATTTTCTATAATCAAACAAAATATGTTTATTTATATCTGAGATATTTGATTGAAAGCTTAAATTAAATAAATTGAATGTTAAAATTTTAATTAATATGTCTTAAATTTTTGTTATTAGGATATGCACTTGATCCAACTGTAGATGGTAGTGCAGACGAAGGTAGAATTATGATTGGTGCAACAGAAGCTGCAGAAGAATCAGGTGGTAAGACTGTTTTCGAAAATACCATCCTGAGACCTTCGGACAAACGAAAGAGGCATAGAAACAATGATGCATCGGATATAGAAGGATTTTTGGGTCCTTGGGGTGGTTACATTGATGAGAAACGAGTAGTTAAGCCAAGCGATGAAGAAGCCGCTGAATTGGAAGAAATCTTAGCCAAACGAAATAAACGAGGAAAACAAACGGAGGAGAAACCACTTGAGGAGAAGACAGTATTACATAGTAATGTCTTTATGTATACCTCATATGTATTACAAATATATTAATGTATATATTAGTAACAAGTTATAAAGAGCTTTTAGAATTTAATTACCTAGTTTTATTAAGATAACATTTAATCAATATGAATATTGTTTTAAAATGTGTACTTATAATATTTAATTTACATTGCAGTCAAAGACAGTGTGGATTATCAGGGACGCTCATTCTTACATGCGCCTCAGGATGTTGGCGTGAATCTCAGATCAGAATCACCACCCGATCGTTGCTTCTTACCAAAGGCACAAATTCACACATGGGAAGGCCATACAAAAGGCATCTCGCAAATTCGATGGTTCCCACGTACAGCGCATTTATTATTGTCTTGCAGTATGGATTGTCGA